TTGGGAGAGCATTAGACTAAAAAATGTTTGACATCACAAAGACGTTGCTCTTTCTTGCTTGATCTATAACTTTAACATGACTTTTTTAATTTACCCAAAAGATTTTTATAACTAAACAATCTGGTTCATACGGAACAAATAAATAAGCAAAAACAGCCAAAATAATCTGCAGGAAAACACAATGAAGACAGAGACTAGCCTTACTAAATATTAAGGCATATTTAAAAGTCTCTAACAGTGTGGTATCAGCAAATAGACAGATCCAAGGAACAAAATAGAAAGTCAAAAAATTAAAGACATGTAGAGAGTTTTAATTTAAGAAAAATGTGACATTTCAACACAACAGGAAAAAGATAGATTATTCAATAAATAGTACACTGAGTAGGCATCTGAGACAAAAATGAGACTCATACCTCATACCTTTCACAAATTCCAAATGGATCAACAATATTAATGTAAAAGGAAGAAATAGAGGGAAGGAGAGAAGAAAAGAAAATATTGAAATAAATTCTGGGAAGGCCTTCCTAACTGACAGAAAAGCCAAACACATTTTTAATAGAAAGATATTAATTCAACTGCTTCAAGATTAAAAATCTCCACATGGGAAAAAAAAATCACATTAGCCACTCATAACACAAAAAGATAACTTCCCTAATATATCAAAGAACTTCAAATTGATTAGAAAAAAACTAACCTATATAAAAATGGGCAAAGGATGTGAACAGACAGTTCTCAGAAACATGAAAGATATTCAACCTCACTCCTCATAAAAGATTCAAATTAAAACTACTCTGAGATATTATCTTTCTATATTAGATTGACTGAGATCAAAAGGCTGAAAAACACATGAATGCACTCATAAATTACAGGTAGAAGTGTAAACTGGTTTATCCTTTACAGAGGAAATTTGGCAACCAAAATGACAGACCTCCCACTTTTGACTTAGCGATTCCATTCCTAGTGTCCCATGTAGGGTGTACAGCTATCCTTGTACATACTCCAAATGCCACCCAGACGGGTAACTCATTACAGAGTTATTTATGCTATCAAAAGATTGGGGGGAAAGCATAAGTAACCATTAACAGGGAACTAAATTATACTTCACCCATAGGATAAAGTACTCTGCAGCCATTTTAGTAACTTAGGAAACTCTTTGTGTGATGATACAGAGAGATCTCCAAATGGAAAAGTCAAGTTACAAATCTGTATGTATAATATACTACCCTTTGTGTAAAAAGCAAGGAAAACAAATGTGTATGTGTGTGTGTGAAAAAGGAAGAAAAACAAATGTGTGCGTGTGTGTGTGCATTTTTTTTTCTTGTAAAATGTCCTGGAAGGGAACCTAAGAAAATGACATTGGTTGCCAATAGAAAGGGAAACTAGGGGGGTGGGAAACAGAAGTGGCAAGGAGACGGCACATTATACTGATCATATTTTTGAATTTTTAACCACGCACATGTTTTACATATTCAAAAACATTAAATAAAAAAGGATAATAATTGATAGCATGAGGAGAATTAAACAAGAACTAAAATACTACACCACCATACCATGGAAGATGAGCAAAGAGTGCTCAGAACGAAAGCTTTATAAGTTCTTTTTACTGTTCGGGTAGAGGTTTATGATATTCAACAAATCTATTATTTGTTACATTAATTATGAACGTTAAAAATGTGAGGATAATCCCTAATAACTAAAATCCCTAAACCAGTAGAGGGAGGGAAAAAAGAATAAGAAAAAAGAGAAAACATGGAAAAATAGAAAGTCCGAAACAAGACAGGCAGAAAAATCCAAATATATCGGTAATCACAATAAAAGGTTAAACTCACCAGTTAAAAAACAAGGATTGGGAGCGGGTGCTGGGCAGCCCTGCCTCCTGCACGGAACTGGAGCTGTGTGGAGCTGACGACATGCTGGCTCAGGAGGATGCACCGCTGGGCTCGCACCCTGTACATGACACCGCCCCATCCACGTCACTGAGCACAGCTGTGCCCGTCCTGGGGAACACGAGAATGTGCCCAAGGCAGAGAAATACACAATCCCACAAGAAGCGTGCGAGCAGACCCGAGACTCAGTTCACTCCTTCCTGAAGCGCAGCCAGCTAGGCCAATAGGACGAAGGGGAGCGGGCACAGCAAGAGGCGAGGCCACCCAGCAGCTCACTGAGCAGAAGGCCCAGGCCAGGGCCATCTCTGTGGGCAGCCGCTGTGAGGGGCGGGTGCCTGGGCACTACCCTCGCTGGGGCACCGTCATGTATGTAGGACTCACAGATTTCAAGCCCTGCTACTGGATCGGCATCTGCTATGATGAACCATTAGGGAAAAACGATGGCAGTGTGAATGGGAAATGCTACTTTGAATGCCAGGCCAAGTACAGCGCCTTTGTCAAACCATCAGTTGTGACGGTGGGCGACTTCCCAGAGGACGACTACGGGTTGGACGAGATGTGACACCCAAGGAATCCCTTTGCTTCAGTTCATAACCTGGCCACTCATTGTCCTCTTTATGTGTAGCCATGGCCCTCTTCCCCAGACCCCATTTTAATTTCACTCACCTTTCCCCTGCCATTGATTTTTTGAGACTCATGCAATAAATTTTCCAGAAACCTGGAAAAAAAAAAACCACAAGGATTCAAAATTTAAAAATTTAAAAAAGAAAGGAAGGAGCACTTCTCTGACTGTCAGACATTTCCCAGGTTGTTCCTCACATTTGGCTCCCAATAAACTTTACAAAATTAAAAAGGGAGAAAGTAAAAAAAAAAAAAAAAAAAAAAAAAAAAAAAAAAAAAAAAGAGAAAGAAAAGGAAGGAGGGAAGGAAGGAAGACAGGCAATGGGTCTTTTAAGTTTAAAAAAAAAAGAATTCTAAGATTAATTTTTTTAAATTTTCAGATAAATGTTCTTTAAAGTAGACACACCTCAAATATGACACAGAAAGCTTAAAAGTAAAGGGACAGAAAAAGATGTACCAGACAAATACAAATCAAAATAAGCTGGTAGGAATATACTACGTATATATATTATGAATATAGTATGGAAAAAGTACATTTTAAGGAAAATATACTAAAAATAAAGAGGATATTTAATGATTTTTGCAAAATACAAGGAAGATATAGCCTGAACCTGTATAAACCTAGCAAATTAACGATAAGGCAATAATTAGAATTACAAGGATTAACGTTAGACATTTTTAAGGCGTTGTATATATTTTTTAAATGTAAGGATAATTGCTAAATGAATAGGCAAATCTCTAATCACAGTGGGAGATTTTATCATGCATCTCTAGAAACTGATAAAGTAAACAAAAATAAGTAAATCAACTTTTACAAGGAATTTAATTGTTAAGAAAGAGAGAAGTGGAACTATAGCCTGATGTAGAATCAGGGTATAGAAAAAGTTGTTTCAGGGCCGGCCCGGTGGCGCACTGCTATAGTGCGCCGCTTGGGAAGCGCGGCGGCGCTCCCGCCGAGGGTTCGGATCCCACATACAGACCGGTTCCCGCTCACTGGCTGAGCGAGGTGCGGGGGCAGCGCCGAGGGTTGCGATCCCTTTGCTGGTCCCGGTCCGGTGCGGGGGCGACACTGAGGGTTGCGATCCATTGCCGGACACGGAAAAAGAAAATAAAAAAGGAAAAAAAAAAGAAAAAGTTGTTTCAGGTCTTGTGGCCAGGAGGAAGCACCCTTAGAGATGTGATTCTCAGTCTTAGCTGCACAATAGAATCACTTGGGAGAGCCCAGACCACAACCCTATCCAATTAAATCAGATCTCTGGGGATGGGAGCCAGGCCTCAGTATTTTTTAAAGTTCCAACATTCAGCCAAGGCTGAAAATCACTGCTCAAGGGAAAGAAAACTGTAGAAGATGGAGGGCAGTACTGGCTACATAGTTTACAGGGCCCAGTGCAAAATGAAAATGGAGGGCCCTTTCTCAAAATAATCAAGAATTTCAAGACAGCAATAGCAGAACCAAACACAGGGCCCTCCTAAGTACATGGCCCTGTGTAACTATACAGGTCACATGCCCATGAAGCCAGCCCTAGAGAGAAGAAAACTGAAGGGATAAAAGTAATAAAAGAACGTAAGGGGAGACTCTGGCCTTTGAAATCAGGAAAACTCTCACATATAAGACGGAAAGAGGAAGAAAGAAAAAAAAGATAAACAGAATAAAGGAGAAAACATAAGGTGGAAAGAAGAGTTAAGAGAATTCATTTATTTTTTTATTTTTATTTTTTAGAGATGACTGGTAAGGGGATCTTAACCTTTGACTTGGTGATGTCAGCACCACACTCTCCCAAGTGAGCGAACCGGCCATCCCTATTATAGGGATCCGAACCCCATCGCCTTGGTGTTATCAACACCACACTCTCCCAAGTGAGCCATGGGCCTGCCCCAGAAGAATTTATATTAGGTAGTTTTAAAAAGACAAGATCTTCAGCCGAGGGAATCTGAAGGTACTGTTTTCCAGCAGCCACTATGAGGGCTGTAACTGAGTTAGCAGCGAATGAAGAAAAGGAATATTGAGCAGTGCTGAGGCCCTGGATGAGATTAGGTAACATGCATTTTTCAAAGAAAGTGTTCAGCATGTTTACATGATTTCCACCAGCATTGTTCAGCAGCCCAGGAACAGGGAAAACAGATGGCTGGTTCCCAGTGAAAAGTTTAGAAGTAACAGAGGTTGTGCTCTGTGGAGGGTACATTTATTTTTGGTGTTTTGTGATAGCTTGGGAAGTTTGGGTCATGATGGAGTTGGCTCTCCATTCCACACATAAACCATCTGGTCTATACTTCTGTTATGAGTAGGTTTCATCGTTATTAAGAGAATTTACTAAATGCCCATTTACACATGGCACTATGCTAGATGATCTAAAATAACTGACAAATGGTTTAGCAATGGCCTTATAAATCATATACAAATCCTTTCATAACAAAATATACTTCTGTTTATTATGTCTGTTGTATAATTCAAATTAAAACATATTACTAATCTTTTTTTTAATGTGCATAAAGGCAGCCAATATAAAGCCTATTGACCCTGCCTCGGGTTATTCAAATGACATCTTCGCCATTGATCAAATACTCAAGAAAAAGCAGACTTGGACAGTGACTGATGCAGCTGCTATTAAACCACACGTGAGTATTCATTGTTAAATGCCTTCCCAGATAGCACTGACAAAAATATTTTCCGCTTCAATCCTACACCGTAAAACCAAGAGAACTTTTATCTGCTCTATTTCTTTAAAATGAGATAAGATCACTTCTCATTTTTACCCATTATAATCACAACATTTCTTGCTGCATAACCAAAAGGATTCAAATATTAGTGTTATGATTCATTCTACTAATCACCTATGTAGCTATACCCAGCATCATTTCTGGGACATTCATTTGTTTGATTCTGGGAACAGAAAACCAATTAAGGTAGGAAACTGCCAATCACAGTGAGTGATGTACTCAGGGAGTCATGGTGAGTGAAAGCATCTTTATTATTGCAGCTAAAAGCTAAATAATAATAGCTTAAGTGTGCTACTTAAGTGACAGGCACTGTGCTCAAGTACCCTACAAGTACATATTCATTTGATTATCACAACCACCCTTGGAAATAGGCAATATTTTCATTCCTTGTCATTTTATAGATATGCACAGAGAAGTTAAATGATTTGCCCAAAGGCACACAGCTAGGAAATAATAGATCAAGGATTATAAACAAGGGCAACATGGCTCCAGAATACACACTTTAAAAAAAAACCATACAGGGCTTTAATGACACTGTTTTTGGTTTTTGGTTTGTTTTTTGTTTGGTTGGCTGGGTTTTTTTGGTTTTTGGTGGGGGGGTTTGGCACCTGGCCAGGTACAGGGATCCAAACTTTTGACTTTGGTGTTACAACACTGTGCTCTAACCAACTGAGCTAACTGGCCAGCCCCAGAACACACACTTTTAACCATAACTCTGTGCTGCCTGTCTACTTTTGTGCCCTGACTTC